ACAATTTAATAATACTTCCAAATAATTTATTAAAAATATTTTCAATAAGTTTCTATTAGTGATTGTCGCCAGAGGCTCCGCAAAATTTATTTATCTTGCCCATACCAAATTTAAATCTTACTCCGCCTTTACGTTAACGTTTACGTTTAGTCGTATAGTTGTAGCACGAATGGATCGGCTCGACCGCGGAAGGAAGCTGCCGTGTTTTGTATGGTGAGTGTAAAGAACCGTAGACCCTTTGCTTTTTTTCGCTAGTATCTTAATTGATCTCAGTCTAAAGGAGAGGCTTCTGTTCAGCCATGGCCTTTTATGGGCTAATGAAGGAGCAGAAAAAATAAATATAGCTCTATGGAAAGATGACCCGAGGTAACTTGGGGGATAAACACTTACCGTTAAATTCAAAGTACACATGCGGTCCATATATATATATATATATATATATATATATATATATATATATATATATATATATATATATATATATAAAATCCGCTCAGATGGTTAGCGCTCGCTGTAAATTTCACAATACGCGAGCAAACCGGGTTCGATTCCCGCCGGCACCAATGAAATTGTTAATTGCAATTTTAAGTGCTGATTTACCACGTGCTCGTCGGTAAAGTAAAACATCGCGAGGAAACCTGCATGTCTGAGAAACAAGAAAAAAATATTTCGAAGACATGTGAAGTTCGCCAACACGCATTGGGGCAGCGCGGCGGACAATTCCTTGCCCTAAAATCCTCTCAGAAATGAGAGGAGGCCTGTGCCCAGCTGTGGGACGTATATAAGCTGTAACTTTATTTTACTTTTATATATTATAGTGTTAAATATGTATTTATAATTCAGTCATATTTTCATTTGTTTTTATAATCGGCGAGACACATGATTTACTGTTTTAATAAAACTAAATTTACTGATTCTATCGCGTTTATTTAACTGATTTTACTTATTTTTTATTCCCGACGTGTGTGTGTGACTAGTGTTCGCGTAAATTTAAGAAATCATTACTGTTTTATTTCAGTCTGAAAATAGCAGTGTCAACATCACGACAGCTACAGTTGATTGGATGGTTAAAAATATCTTCCCTTTATTTGTCGATGACGAAGCTACACAAGTATATTTTCGATCAATTTGCCCAAATATGGTGTTTCCTAAAAGGTCCACACTAAGAAGGAAGGTCAAAGGACGGTTTGAAGAGCTTCAATTGAATCTTAAGAAACGACTACAACAATTTTTATCTAAAATGTCATTTACAATTGATGGATGGACGTCAATTGCTGGTAGGAGTTACTACGGGGTCACTATTCATTACATAGACAACGAATGGAAGTATCGATCTGTAGTCCTTGATTTTATACCATCACGCGGTCGATATACTGGGGAAGATATTGCAACGATTTTCCACGAATGTTTTTTGGAATATGACATAATTGATAAAATACAGGGTATCACGGTCGACAACGCAACTGCAAATACCAAATTTATGTATGAATTGGTCAAACAGCTGCCACACTTTGATTCAGACAATCAACATTTCCGGCGCTTTGCTCACATTTTGAACCTTGGTGTACAAGATTTATTAAAGACCTTAGCATTACACAGTGAAACTGACAATAAGGGACAAGAACAGCAGTATGAAGATAATGAAGACGAAACTGAGGAAGATGAAGAATATGCGCCAAATATTGCTGACTCACGTACAGCTATAACAAAATTACGCAGTATTTCCAGTAAAATAAAAAGAAGTGAGATATTGAAGAGGAAGTTTCAGTCTGCTTGTGAACCAGCTGGCGTGCCATCAAATCTAAACCCCATACTCGACTGTCCAACGAGATGGAATTCCACACATGATATGATTGGATTTGGTTTAAAAGTGAGAACTGGCATTAACATATTGTGCACTTCTGTCACCGAATTGAATGATTTTCAAATCACAGATATTGAATGGCAAATACTCGAAAAAATACATAAGTTTCTAATAAACTTTAAATTTCTATCAACGAAACTTGGTGGAGAAAAATATGTTACGTTACCGCTAGCCATTGTATCATTCAATCTCTTGCTCGATAAAATTGAATCCATGGTAAAACAATTAGATGAGAAACCTAATCGATCCGAAGTGGATGAAAGGCTCATTCTGGGTTTTCAAGCAGCTCGAGACAAAATGCTTAAACATTACGAGGGTGGATTGAAAAGTACTCGGCCTAACCAAGAAAATAAATACATACTAAATCAGTAATATTTTTATTTTTCTACATAATCACCATCAAGTTCAATACACTTTTGACACCTCCCCTTCCAAGCATTTAGACCGTTGAAAAAAATGATTCTTCCTTAGAGTCAAAATATGCGTCTACAGCTGCTTTGACCTCGTCGTTTGTCGAAAATCTTTGACCTCCCAAGTGATTTTTTAGGTTAGGGAACAGAAAGAAGTCTGATGGTGCCAGATCAGGTGAATACGACGGATGCGGTAACAGTTCAAAGCCACAGTTGTGAATTTCAGCCATTGACTGTACTGACGTGTGAACACGGGCGTTATCTTGATGAAACAGGACTTTTCTTCTGAGCATTCCTCGACGTTTTTCTTTTATTTCCTCTCGTAAACGACGTAGTAAGGTGCAGTAGTAATCAGAGTTTATAGTCTGACCCCTTTCAAGATAATCAATCATAATCACACCTTTCGAGTCCCAGAATACTGAAGCCATCACCTTATTTGCCGACAAAATCGACTTAGCCTTTTTTAGGGGTGGTGAACCAGGTCTTCTCCACTGTTTTGATTGTTGTTTTGTTTCCGGTGTACAGTAATGAACCCATGTTTCGTCCATAGTAACAAAACGATTCAAAAAATCATCTGCATCGGCTTCAAATAACTCCAAACAGTCGCGTGACATAGTCAATCGCGTCCTTTTTTGTTCAACTGAAAGCAGTCGCGGAACCCACCTCGCAGACACCTTGTGGAAACCCAACTCGTTGACAATGATGTTTTGAGTTCGTTCATAAGAGATGCCTATAATCTCGGCTATCTCTCTAATTTTTAATCTGCGGTCTCCCATTATTAAATCAAGTACTTTTTTAATATTTTCGTCAGTAGTTGACGTCGGAGGCCTTCCAGAGCGGGGTTCATCTTTCACACTCTCTCTACCACGCTTGAATTCTGCTATCCATTTTTTGACGGATGAATATGACAGAGCACAATCGCCTAATGTACTGACCGTGTCATCATGGATGGCTTTTGATGATAGCCCCTTCTTATGGAGGTACTTAATGACGGCACGCTGCTCGATTTGCTCCATTCGCGGAAATTATGTCCGATTACTTTGTTAATAAATTTATAAAATCACAACTAATTATCGCACACGTTTCGAACTTCACACAATGAACTAGTCTGAACTGAACTAAATAATTTGGGTAGATTTGATTTTTAGAATTGAATGGATCTGTGTTAAAGGCCGAGTACTTTTCAATCCACCTAGTATAAAAAGGGCAACTGGATTTGTTGTACCTTTTTAATTTTAGACCCAAGGCATAAGACTCAAACTTTTGACATGACATTATGGGGGAAACAAATTAAAACAGAAAGCCTGCGCAAACTTACAACTTTATAAAGAATATAAAAGTCTACACTCAGTGAATACATCTCTAGAATCACCAAGAAATGAAAAGAAAGTATGTGAATATGATGAAGATGAAGACGTAATAGACTTTGAGAAATTGTATGCATGTCCCTCGACGTCATCTGGATCTGGATCTTTTCATCAAGGCTTAGTTATAGACGAGTTGGAGGAGTACCTAAGTAAACCCAGAGCCGCCAGTTCGGAAGGCATTTTAGAGTGGTGGAGGACGCATGAGACAGAATATCCGACTTTACCGAAGATGGCCCGTGATTTTCTTTCAATACCTGCAACTTCAGTATCTGCTGAGAGATTATTTTCTAAAGCATCACTAGTAATTAAAAAACATAGGAATAGGTTAAGTGATGAGTCAGCCAGATGGTTACTCTGTATTAATTCTTGGTCAAAAGAATTAATATAAAGTAACAGTAATGTCAAAGCTGTTGTGTACTGTTATGTAATTTAATTTGTATTGTATTTTATTTTTTTATTTAAATAAATGGTAAATTGTATAACTCTTTTATTCCATTTCATATAAGGGTCTATCAATCTCTTTCTAGACAGATAATGTTCTTTATAATACAGGCAAGTTAATGTCATTAATTTGTTTTTTATATGTTTTGACTAAGTTTTAGCACATGTAAGCTTATTAAATGTAAACGTTTATTAAGAAACAGACTAACTCCCGTGGCCGTGAGACTTGGTAGACAGCTCAGTTGGTTAGAGCATCGGCACGGATCGCTTAGGTCGTGGGTTCAAACCCCACCGGGTATTAGTTGATTTTTCGAATTTCTCATTAAATGTTTAGACATTTATTAATTTGGTGTGTGGTCTTTCTATGGCTATGTTAATTCAAGCTCAAAATGTGCCTACTCTGTTAATTTGTTCTAAGATCTAAAGTAACGTTTAATAAATAACAATAGATTAATAGGTAATTGCGAGACTTGCGAGACTCTTGCTGCAAGACCAAGACCAAGAACAAGACTGAGAGCGCAATACCAAGACCAGGTGTATTGGCGCAAGACCAAAACCAAGACTGGCTAAGTCTCGTCTTGTTCTTGAATTTGGGCAACACTAATGTGTGTTCCCGGTGACGCCAATCCTCCTACAAAGTAAGGTTGACAGCCATTCTATTGTGTATTAAAGTATTCTATGGTAATTACTATGATTGCTACGCTTGGCAAGTGTGTTGGCCACCGCAGTTTTTATATTTATCCGTATTAGGAAGACCGCGCTGACCATCTCCTGTTTTCTTTCCCTGTGTCGCCTATTGCGACACCCACGGGATGATATGGTGTAGTAGATATTCTTACACCGTCACTACACGGTAAAAATATAATGTTTTTATTAAATCATTCGTTGTTCCCTTAATCTACTTCACAGGCAAACGCAATGGACGCAATAGCAAAGTTAGCAGAGGTGACACAGATGCAAGGCGCTTTACAAGTATTGTCGATGTTGCAGGTGACTTCATACTTGTACCCCCAGCATTACATTATAAATGGTTAGAATATTTTACTTTAGGACCTTATTTTATTTTAAAATATTGTACAAGTTATCTTATAATTAGGTGTGAATCACACCGTGTGATCATAGTTCGATGTAATCGCAAACGTTTCCAAATACGTACTTTGCTACAGAGGTGTCTCAAATTGCTTGCGCTGCTAGAGTTACAGTTTTTATTTTAATCTATGTGTTGCTACGTTTATGATAATAATAATAATAATAATGTATTTTTTGTATTTATATTATTTTATAGATATTTATGTATATTTATTAACCAGATGAGAAAATTATGTAGGTATCCCAAAAATAATAATAATAGTAATAATCCTTTGTTGCAGACACAAAGATCCATATTTACAAGAAAATATAATATAGCATACATATATATAGTATAGCAAGAATAAACATGTTGCAATATTTCAAAAGTCTATCGTCACTCAGCAACTTTCACCCAGCATTTGTACATTGCAGTCTGTCAGATCTAAACAGTGTAATTTTCACGTCCGTCGACGCCTTGCAGAATTTTCGCGCAATCATATTGCCTACTACACACAGAGATCTACGTAGATGTTCCACATCCGTGTCATCTTTTAAGTCTGAAGTAACAATATGGCCAAGATACTTGAACTTGTCTACTATCTTAATAAATTTTCCATAAAGACGAATCTCGGGCACGCTCTCAGGTAACTTCCCTGATCTGAAAATCATTATTTCTATCTTTTTGGAGTTGTAAGTCAAATTATGTTCTTCTGCGTATCTTTCACAGATTTTAATTAATTTTTTCAAGTCTTTAATCAAGGGACTGAGCAGCACCATATCGTCAGCATAGATCAGGCTGTTAACATATCTGTCGTCCAGTCTGAGACCTACCGGTGATCTGCTCAGCTCCACGATTAAATCATTCATATAAGTATTGAAAAGATCAGGTGGGGTAACATCCCCCTGTCGCCACAAGAAAGCTTATAGCAATCCGATATTTCACCACCCCACCTAACGTTGTTGGTCCGATTACCGTACCAGAACGCTAGGAGATCAACAACCTCATCCGGGACACCTTTGCTAGTGTCACGGAGCTTTTTCCACAGTATTACATGACTAATTGTATCAAAGGCACGACTTAAATCAAGAAAACAAGCGTATACAGTAGTATTCCGCTGTTTATAATAACCTATAACTTGCTTTAGAGAAAATATAGCCATATCTGTTGATACATTCGGACGAAAACCAAACTGCCCATCATCGTAATTTATGGAATTTAAGTATAACTGTAATACTCGTTCAAATACCTTGGCCACTATAGTGGCCAAAGAATTAGGCCTATGGTTCACCAAGCTCGAGATATCCCCGGTTTTATTTTTCATAATAGGATCAACCACCGTACGAATAACTTCCTCAGGTAAATAACAATGTCTGACACAGAGATTGAAAAAATGCGCTAACAACTCACAGATATGCTGGCCCGCATATAACAGATGCTCTATGCTAAGACCGTCATGACCCGGAGACTTAATCCGCTTCATGTTAGTCAAAAGTGACTCTGACTCTTTCGGCGTAATTGTTACATGATGTTTTCGATCCCTGACATGCCCTAGCCTTACATCATCATCATCATCATTACAGCCCTTCACAAGGCCACTGCTGAACATAGGCCTCCCCCAAGTAATGCCACAAAGCACGGTCCTGAGCCACCTGCATCCATCGACTTCCTGCATGTCTTACCAGGTCGTCACTCCATCTACTGGGGGTCGCCCTACACTACGCCTACCGGTACGAGGCTGCCACTCGAGAACCTTTCTACCCCATCGGTTATCGGTTCTTCGAGCTATATGGCCGGCCCATTGCCATTTTAGCTTACTAATCCGTTTGACTATGTTGGCTACTCTATTTTTACTGCGGATATCCTCATTTCTGAGCCTATCACGCAGAGAAACTCCAAGCATAGCCCTCTCCATAGCTCGCTGAGCAACCTTTAGCGTCCTCATATGGCCAGCAGTGAAGGACCACGTTTCTGATCCGTAAGTCATCAATGGCAACACGCACTGGTTGTACACTTTAGTTTTCAGAGATTGAGGTATACCTGACGAGAAGATGCGTCGTAATTTCCCGAACGCTGCCCAGCCGAGTTGAATCCGTCGATTGACCTCTCGGTCGAAGTTGGACTTACCTAGTCGGACTATTTGTCCCAGGTAAACGTACTCGTCAACAACTTCGAGCATAGTGCTCCCAACAACTAACGGAAGGGACCGGGGTAGACCTGAGAGTGGCGGTACGTAGCCTCAAGGCCAGGAATAACGCCCCAGGACCCGATGGCTTGCCTGGCAAAGCCTGGGTCCTGGCCTCGGAGGCTCTCGGGCTCCGACTGGAGGGGCTCCTAAGTGCTTGCTTGGAGAGAGGCCGATTCCCGCTTTGTTGGAAGACGGGGAAGCTGGTCCTCATTCGTAAGCCGGGGTGCCCTGCGGACTCTCCGTCCGCATACCGGGCCGTGGTGCTGCTCGACGAGGTGGGCAAGCTCTTTGAAAGAGTCATTGCAAACCGCCTCGCCGAGCACCTTGCGGGGACGGGGCCGGGCCGGCCTCTTGCGCTCCACGGTGGACGCCATCATACGCGTGAGAGCCCTCACGACGGAGGATGCAGTGGCCAGAGGGGGGGTTGTCTTGGCGGTGTCTCTCGACGTCGCCAACGCCTTCAACTCCATGCCCTGGAGCTGCATTAGGGAGGCACTCCGGTATCACCGGGTGCCGACCTATCTCCGTCGTATAGTCGGGGACTATTTAACGGACAGGGCCGTCATCTACCCCGGTCGCAACGGTGAGTGGAACCGGCGAGAGATGTCGTGCGGTGTCCCACAGGGTTCGGTTCTGGGGCCACCTCTGTGGAACATCGGTTACGACTGGGTGCTGCGCGCCGACCTCCCTACCGGCGTCAGCGTAGTTTGCTACGCTGACGACACCCTGGTACTGGCACAAGGGGGGTCGTACGAGGCGGCGGCGGAAACTATGACACGCGGGGTTGCGATAGTCGTTGAGAGGATTCGGCAACTGGGTCTCGAGGTGGCTCTGCACAAGTCCGAGGCCATGCACTTCCATGGTCCTCGGAACAGGCCACCACCGGGATCCTCAGTGATGGTAGGAGGGGTATCCATTGGCGTCGAGTCGACGCTGAAGAACCTAGGACTCGTCCTTGACAGCCGATGGAACTTCGTTGAGCACTTCCGACGTTTGGCTCCCAAACTGGAACGGACCGGGGCTGCCTTCAGGCGGTCTGCCGATGGGCCAAACGCCTCCTGCCGGAGGCTCTACACGGGGATCGTGCGGTCCATGGCCCTTTACGAGGCCCCGGTGTGGGCGCGTGGTTTGGCGCGGCTTGCCGTCCACCACCTGAACGCGCCCCAAAGGGTGGTTGCCGTGAAAATGGTTCGCAGCTACCACACGATCTCTCGCGAGGCGGCGAGCCTCCTTGCCGGATTGCCGCCATGGGATCTGGAGGCGATAGTCCTCGCGCGCCTGCACGAATGGCGCACGGAGGCACTATGCCGGGGGGAAACCCCGCTGCCGCTTCGAGTTGTCGCGCAGCGGACAGACTTCCGGCACGATCTCATGGCGACATGGAGAAAGCGACTGTCGCAACCCCGTGCTGGGCACGCCACTATAGCGGCGATAAGACTCCTCTTAGAGGAGTGGCTTGAGAGACGCCTCGGCATCCTCACCTTCCGCCTGACGCAGGTCCTCACGGAACGGTGTGTTCGGGAGATTCCTGCACCGAATCGGGCGGGAGGAAACGCCCGGGTGCTCCCACTGTGAGGATGGACCGGAGGACACGGTGGAACACACCGTGGAGGTGTGCCCTGCTTGGGCGGAGCACCGCTGTGTCCTCGTAGCGGCGATAGGCGGCGGCGACCTCTCGCGTCCGGCCCTGGTCGAAGCCATGGTCCGGAGCGAGACGGAATGGGATACCGTCACCACCTTCTGCGAAGCAGTGATGCTAGCGAAGGAGGTGGCGGAGCGGGAGAAGGAGAGAGCAGCAGCTTTCCTCCCCGGCCGCCGCGGGAGACGCCCCGGGCGTCGGGGGGCTACGTCGTGACCCCCGGCCATCGTAGGCGCGGGCCTGTGGACGGCGAGCAATGGGTAGCTCGCCGTCCGTCCGTCTAACGACGACAGGCCGTGTCGACGGCGCGTTTTGTTCCACGCGCGCAAGGGCCGACGTCTGCCGGGGCTGCGGGCTATTCGAAAGAGATATCGCGGCTCCGGAACGTAAGGGCACTGAAGGAACACGGATAGTTTTTAGTCAGTAAAAGTCTGACACTCCCTTGCGCTCCACCCAGAGCGAAAGGCGTCATTAGATGATTTTCCATCCGCAAAAAAAAAGACCAAATACATACCTTGCTGCAGATTTTACAGAAGACCGAAGAGTACAATCTGCCACTTTGCGTGGTGTATGTGGACTATGACTCCGTAGACATTTGGGTGATGCTACAGTTCCTCCAGCGGTGTCAAGTTAACTGTCGGTATATCGAAGTGCCGAAGTGTTTGTACAGTAAGACTACAATAGCTATCTGAGTACAGAAACAGAGTACGAAACCTAGCCAACTGCAGAAAGGTGTAAGATAGGATGACGCTATATTCCTGAAACTCTTCAACGCTGCATTGGAAGACGTTTTGAAGCTACTGGACTGGAAAGGATACAGTATTAATATCAATGGTGAATACATTACTTGCCTTCGATTTTCTGACGATATAGTCTTTATGGCAGAATCGCTGAAGGACCTAAGCACTATGCTCAATGACCTCAATAGTGTCTCCCAACGGTAGGTCTTAAGATGAACATGGACAAAACAAAGACCATGTTTGATGTCCATGTCACACCTATGCCGATAGTAGTAAGGAGCACTAAGCTCGAAGTTGTTGACGAGTAAGTTTACCTGGGGCAAATAGTCCGATTAGGTAAGTCCAACTTCGACCGAGAGGTCAATCGATGGATTCAACTCGGTTGCGCAGCGTTCGGGAAATTACGACACATCTTCTCGTCAGGTATACCTCAAAACCTGAGAACTAGATTGTACAACCAGTGCGTGTTGCCAGTGATGAATTATGGATCTGAGACGTGGTCCTTCATTGCTGGCTGTACAAGGACGATCAAGGTCGCTTAGCGAGCTATTGTGAGGGCTATGCTCGGGGTTTATCTGTGTGATAAACTTAGAAATGAGGATATCCGCAGTAGAACTAGTGTGACCGACATAGCCCAACAGATTAGTAAGCTGACGTGACAATATGCCGCCTATATAGCTCGAAGGACCGACAACCGATGAGGAAAAAGGTTCTTGAGTGGCAGTCTCGTACCGGTGGACGTACTGTAGGGCGATACCCCCACTAGATACAGTGACGACCTGGTAAGACATGCAGGAAGTCGATGGATGCAGGTGGCACGATCGTGCTTTGTGGCATTCCTTGGGGGAGGCCTATGTTCAGCAGTGGACTTGTGAAGGGCTGTAATGATGATGATGAGTAGGCAATGTGATAAATTCATTGAAATAATTAATTTGACCGGGCTTTTAAAAGTTCAAACAGTAATAATTATATAGCACAATTTGACGTGTCATTGTTCATATTGTCCGGGAATCATAAATAGTGTTCTGATTGATGACTAGGACATATATACAACATTATAGTAACGTAATTCACTGTTTTATAACGACCGTCATGTAGAGGCAGCGCAATCCTAGGAATCTAGAGCTTGAGAGAGTCATCTATCGTCTCTGGATCATGAAAGCCGACAAACGAAAGATCTCGGAAGCTTTTCTAGCATGAGATAAATCTTATATTAGCTTTATTTACCTATTATACATATATGTAAATACATAAACTAGCGATAGCGCACGGCGGCATAGGTTTTGCCTGTTATATGTTGTTTCTGGTACATAGTATTATTATTTCAGATGGCGAATTTTTCGATTTCATCATAATTGGCGGAGGAACTGCTGGAAGTGTGCTAGCTAACAGACTCACTGAAAATAAACGTGTAAGGGTGGCCCTAATAGAAGCAGGTGGAGATCCACCCCTAGAATCAATGGTAAGTTATTGAACATTTAGCAATCATAATTGATAATATAGTATAATTGTCTTATTTGAAATTCGAACAGCTTCCAGGTTGGTTCACTTTAATGTCAAGAAGCCGTGTCGACAAAAACTACACTTCAGAAAATGATCAAACAACCCAGCAATCTCACAGAAATCGTGTTGCCAACTTGACAAGTGGTTACGTGCTTGGGGGAAGCAGTAGTATTAATTACATGTTTTACGTCCGGGGAAGCCCATACGACTATGAGACTTGGGCAGCGGCCGCAAACGATCGTACATGGAGTTGGAAGGGTGTTTTACCGTATTTCATCAAAAGTGAAAGGTTGGAAGATTTAAACGTATTATATTCACCGTATAGAATTTATCATGGCACCAGTGGATATTTAGGTATTACGAGAGAGTTTCATAATGAAACAATTAAGTTCTTAGAAGCTGCGAATGAGTTGGGTCATGATGTTTTAATAGACATAAATGGAGAGCAACACCTGGGATTTACAACTCAACTTTTTACTATAGCTAATGGTGTGCGTCAGAGCACTGCATATTCCTATTTATCGCCAATTAAACATCGTAAAAACCTGTGCATTCTTAAGAACACTTTAGCGACAGAAATTAAATTTGATGAGAACAATAACGCCGTGGGCGTAAAAGTCAAAGCAGGGAATGGTCAAATTCTCACTCTTAGAGCGATTCAGGAAGTTATTATATCAGCGGGAGCTTTCAATAGTCCCCAGTTGCTAATGCTGTCTGGAATTGGACCAAAAGACCATTTGAAAGAGCTGGGAATTCCAGTTCGAAGTGACTTGCCAGTCGGATTGAATTATCAAGACCACGTGGCCGTTATAATGGCGTTCAAAATGGAAAAATCCCACACCTTGGCCATGCCCACAAATCCACATATGTTTCCAATGCCCACATTCACTGGATATGTGGCTCTCGACAAACAACAAAAATATCCCGACTACCAGGTAGTAAATATGATTGTTCCCAATGATTCCGATGCTATACTGAAACTCTGCGCTTTTAACTATTGGTTTGAATTCGAAATATGTGAACAGTTCTATAATAGTGGTAAGGGAAGGAAGATGTTATTTTCTACTTTGAATATATTGCATCCAAAGTCACGGGGTAGAGTGCTTCTACGTAGTAAGAACCCTGAAGACCCTCCTATCATTCATACAGGTATGTTTACAGACAAGACCGATTTGGAGAATCTAGCAAGTTACGTTGAGGATTATGTTCAAATTTTGAATACTACGTACTTTAAAAGCGTAGGATCGGAGTTCGTGGACTTGAAGTTGTCTAAGTGTAATGGCTTAAAGCGTTGGAGTAGAGACTACTGGCGTTGTTACGTACTGAGTATGATGAACACGATGTATCACTATAGTGGCACGTGTGCATTAGGCTCAGTGTTGGACTCACGACTGCGTGTTCGTGGTGTCAAAAGATTGCGCGTAGTGGATGCTAGTATTATTCCCCACCTTGTTGGGGGAAACATTAACGCGCCAGTTATCATGATCGCAGAGAAAGCTGCGGACTTTGTCAAAGAAGATAATAAATTATTTTAAGATAGATATTAAATAAAATGAATAATGAAAGTAGGGAAGCTTGAGAGGGGGGAGGGGTGTATATGCAATACAAAACTGAAAGAGGAAATATGGTATTTTCATTTCGAGCAACTCCAGACAACCCTTGCTACATCAACAGAATTAGTAGCCAGCAATGAAGAACCACGTCTCAGATCCATAAGTCATTATTGGCAACACGAACTGGTTGTACAATCTCGTTTTCACGTTTTGAGGTGTGCCTGACGAGAAGTTATGTCCTAATTTCCCGAACGCTGCCCAGCCGAGTTGAATGTATCTATTGACCTCTGGGTCGAAGTTGGACTTACCAAGTCTGAATATTTGTCACTGGTAAACATATTCGTAAACAACTATAAACGGAACGTACATACTGTTGCAGAAATATTCTATATATACCCTTTTACTTATAATGTCATTGCTTTAAGTAGATTCTCGTCATACTGCAGTTTCAGTGTGTTAGGGCATCAATTATCATTTAAATACGGCGATCATTTTTACACGTTTCCAGTTTTGAGCTCTTTTTAGGTAAAGTTTCAAGTCTTTAGCTCAAGAAGAATTCAGCTTAAAATCAATTGCAACTTATACCGAACAGACAAGTAAGCGAGTTAATAAATCGTTGTAATTATACTATACATTGTTGTAAAAATAGTAAACTGCCGCTCAATATTGAAGAGGAAACAAAATTCTTGTGTAAAAAAAAATTATTGAGTTTTTCCGTCAAGAAATTCTCAGTAGCTGCCCGGAAGTTGGCGGCTCACCCCGTGCCTCGGAAAGCACGTAAAGCCGTTGGCCCTGCGCCTGGACTCTCACCGATCGTGTCGGTTTACCCTCCCATCGGATTATGAGAGTGAAGGAATAGAGAGTGCACCTGTGCTTGCGCATACACTTGGGCACTATAATCCTGTACTGCGCCGATGGCTAGTCTCCGTTGAGGCTGGCCGCCGTGACCGAAATCGGTCTGGAGGACATTATTATTATTATTAATATAGTTATAGCGCGAATGAGTCGGCTCGACTGGGGAAGGACCACGCTCTCACAGAATATCACCTTAAAATAGCAACTTAATGATGCTGTAATTATTGTGGTGAGTGTAGAGAACCGGAGACCCTTTTTACTGGAAAAGAGGCATTCCATCTTAGTCCTTACGGCTGACAATGCATCTGCATTTTGATTCGCCATCGAGGGTAGATGTAGATGTCTATGGGCCACAGAAACCACTTACCGTCGGGTTGGATGTGTGCTCATTTGCACCTTTATATTATTAAAAAAATATATACTGACTTTCTGTAATTATACTGTTCAGACCGGAACACAAAATAGTACACGCCCTGCTTGCTTGCCGGCTGAAATGGATAAGAAGGTGGGCTAACCCAAACGAACTCATAGACAAAAAAGGAATCTTACTTTGTATGATGAAACATTGTGCAGACAATTTGGCTCCTCATTACAGAAGTTAAATATTTTCTCCTGCAATAGCTTGAAAAAGTCCACTGCTTAAAATGGGCTTCTCCCCTTCAGCATTCGCAAAATTGAAACTAAAATGATGCTACACAGAATGATCTTACAGTATTGCTGAGCGCCATAATTAATGCAACTAGCGTCATCTGGTATCGAGTAGCAGAACTAGGAGAGTACTCGTAACAGTATCTTGAATTCTTGCAGTAGTATGCTTGGGTTTGGATTTAATTTTATTAATTATGGCATCTCCATATGGAAAGAATCACTCAGTCATGGTATCTATTGGATGTTTTTTTATTGCAATAGCCTCACAAATCATCCTTGGTAGGAATCGGTGATCTTTTGCGAGGATTTGTCGTCCATCAAGAGAGTTGGAAAATATATCATCCAACGCTGAATGGAGGCCATTTTGACAAACTACGTACCTGAGTATCCTAAGTTGTGGTATCACGAGCAGGTGTTTGAAAAAAATTACTTAATCTGTTAGGTGAGAAATTCTTCTGAAAAATTTGATCCACGCATACTTACAGTTACACTGCGGATGTACACACTACAACTTAGAACATCACACATTATTAAACCCTGGAAGAAAATACTAAACACAAAGATAATTACTGTAAACTATTCAAAGAAGAGAGAAGTAAAAAATTATACCAGTACATGAAAAAGTATGCTATTCACTGCTAGTGGAACAAAACGACAAAGTGACAAAGTGAGTGACGAGCTTTAGCAGACTACTCAACGTACCTATATGACTAGAAAGGCTGTAATACATATGGACAGAGAACCACAAAATACATGATACCTACATTAATTGACAAATTACCTACTAAGCCACGTCATAAGGTTAACGAAGAAATATCAGACGTGAGTTAACAAAGTATTACATAGATAGTATATTAGTGGGATATCACAACTATAGTGCAAGCTTCATGATACACCGTAATATAATAATATACAATGTGTCAATCATGTATCCATAAAGACAAATATATTTTATACAATACACACCTCAACACTACATACACATTCACATCACATCACACAGGTTATACAAGTACAAGCTATAACCGTACATATTTACCGCAATTATCCTAACTTTCTATGATTATTATTTAGACATTAGTACTTATAAATAAATTTTATTAAAAATAAATTTTGCACAAACTGTATAACTCAAGCAAACGACTGGTGCTATTGTTTACTGTATTTTCAACCGACATCAAAAAGGAGGAGGTACTCAATTTGACTATATTTTTTATGTTTGTTACTCCTAACTTTTTTCCGGGTGAATGGATTTTGATGATTCATTTTGATCTGAAAGCTAGTGCTTTTTGTGTGGTCCCATATAAATTTAATTAGGATCTGACAATTAGTTTTTGAGTTATCCTTAAATAGTACATATGTACTTCGAATAAATTGATTTGGTTGTATCTAAGTCGGTTATATTTTTTTATAATTTTGCCACTTGTATTATATTTTACAATTCGCATGAGTTCTCAAAACCGGTTTCAAAGTTAAATATGCAACCCGAATACTTTTTTCTCTTAATAGATTATATTATGCTTTTTGACGGTAATAGTAACTTTGCGGTATTCATGAACACATTTCAGCGAGTGAAGAAAACGATACACAATTGAGTTTAGCGGCATCTTATTATTGTAAAACTGTACTGTATATTATTTAATAATAAATAAAAAAGGTGAAGTGAAATAAAAGCTTGTAAAAAGTGAGTTCTATCTGTATTACAAAATAAAATGAAGAAAGTCCATTCAATATTTCATTCAGCTTTTCACGTAAATGTAATTCTCCGTAACTTGAAAATGAAATGTACCGTTGAATAGGTCGCGACTGTGTTGGATGCTGCGGCATAAGCCATGATCGAATAATATTTGCATCTCACTGACTGGCAATGCGCCAAGCATAATACCCGCCCGACCTCGCCTCGACACCTGTGCCAAGAAATTTCATAGAACAATATTGCATTTGTGGAGAAGAAATGATTGAAAATTTCGATAAAAAGCAAAATAATTTCATATTTCTTTGACTTGGGTAGAATTTCTATACTTGGTACAGTCATACTGCAGCTATATTATGGTTGTAGCACGAATAGTTCGACTCGACTGAGGAAAGACCACGTTCTTATAGTCTTAACGCCTCGTACATGGGCCATGGTATGCACTTATCATCAGGCGGACTGTGTGCTCCCTTGTCACCATTATTCTATAAAAACTTTAACAGTGGTAGAGACACGCGGCAACTTTTGCTGGCAGCTTTTGCTGGCAGCGTTTGTTGGCAGCGTTTGCACGGAAGGGCCGGCTTGAACCGGGGTGGTACCACGACCTTAGAGAATACCAGCGTGAAGTAGAAGTTTACCTCTGCATTTTGCGTGGTAAGTGCAAGTGGCTGGAAGCCCAATGCCCCCTCTCCCCCAACTCTCATAAAATGGTAGCGCAATCAAGTAAAAAACTACCCCCGAAGGGCTGGTACCCTCCTGGGGTAGTTTTTATTTGATGTACCCCCAGTGACGGAGAATGCCTCGCTGAGCATCCATGACCAAACTATCCTGAGCATGGGTACTCAGGCTGCCCCACGTAGCATTCAACTAAGGAGCACTTATGGTCTTCTTTGTTTGAAGTTGTTTGCAGATGTCAATGGGCTGCATTAAATTACGAACTCAATTATTGCTATAATACTGTTAAAGCCTGGGCTTCCCCATAGATGGTACTATAGAGAGGATAATTTGCAATAATTGCCACTCTCGGCATGTGGGTTGGCAATCGCAGTTTTTTCGACAATCATTCGATTACAGCCCTTCACAAGTCTACTGCTGAACATAGGCGTCCCCCAAGTAATGCCACAAAGCCCGTGCTTTGTGGCATTCCTTGGGGGATTGCCTTTGATTTCTCTCACTAAGCGAATGCGGGTGGAACAGGACCGTTCCTGTTCCACCCGCATTCGTTTAGTGAGCGACGCTCTACACATCATCTACCGGTATGTGGCTACCACTCGAGAACCTTTCTACTCCATCGATCGTTGGTTATTCGAGCTTTATGGCCGACCCACCGCCACTTTATCGTACTAATCCGTTGGGATATGTCGGTTACTCTGATTCTACTGCGGATACACTCATTTTTAAGTCTGTCATGCAGAGAAATCTCGAGTAGAACCTTCTTCGTAGCTCGCTGAGCGACCTTGAGCTTCCTTATACGACGTTCTGAATATTTTGAAATTAATCGTTAAAATTCCTTAATATAAATTAGTTTTGCCTTGCCATGGTGCCTTTAATTTCGAAATAATTTCTACCTATATTTTGGCTAAAATATGATACAGGGGCATAAAGAGCTTAAAACAAAAACTTTAATTTGGAAGCCATTAAGTGCACGATGCGTGTTTGATTGGTCTCCGATGAAAATTATCTGAGTAATGACTACTCTAAAGGTTTAATTGTTAAAGTTACGGATGAAAATCAATGAAGCGGTACTTATTAAAAAAGATTTTACAAAATTTTCCTTTTTCAACTT